AAAAAAAAAAAAAAAAAAAAAAAAAAAAAAAAAAAAAAAAAAAAAAAAAAAAAAAAAAAAACAATAACAATAAGTAATATATATCAAAGTAAGTGTACAAAGTATCCCGGAAATATCGAATTCGTTTTTACTGACTTGACTCGATTATAATTAGGTGTTTAAAGAAACTGCATGAGTCAGAGCACATAAACAGCCTTCTCCAAGAAATGGCTCAATAAGATCCAGCATCAATAAAGTGATTAGGTGAGGATGATTAGATGAGGGCACCTGCCCTGAATTGTTAACTCAGATCTGATAATATATTCCTATACCGAAGGTGAAGGAGCATCACAAGTAGTTGGTAGTAATAGCCACAAACAAACAGGGTAAAAGAAGTTAGACACGCTGTCAAACATAGTCAAGTATTATCTCATTAGTAGCAAAGATTACCTATACGCTTTAAGCATATTTACATCCTCAATATACAATTCCTGTTCAGTTTATAATTGAAAATGAGACTTGGGCAATGGCCTCTTCTACATCAGTATCTGTACCTTATTGGGACAGGGTAGAATGTGAATTAGGCACTTACACCATTTACATTGATTTCTAGGTCTTTTCTGAGCCTAGATACCATCTCATACATCAGGATAAAAGGATCACCACTTCCACAATAACTCCAGCAAGCTCTTACGCATAATACCTGAGCATTAGCAACCACTATTTCCCCAACAAAATATCACACATCCAACCGTATAATGCGTACAAAATTCAAAGCATCTCACCAGAGGTTGAGATCTATTTCCACTGCACTGGATTAACATCAATCTGTTGCCAGTATATGATATCCAAGGTTTCAAGTTTCAGGATGAAATACCAGATAAATCAATATTCTGCTATGTGCTTATACCTTCTCTAGTATACCAAAATCAAGGCTTTCAACACAAGAAGTAAGTTTATTCTCAGCATATAGAGAAATGGGTACCGATAATGGGTAGAAGATGTCAAAGATGCTCCCTAAAGTATAAGTCTATGTTATTTTGATATCTGTACCTCCATCCAATAAATGAACTCGATACTTATGTCAATTGTTCAGGGAACCGACCACCTGCAAGACTCATTTTCAATCATTGCTAATATAACGCGCTGAATAATGCTAATAACTCGAAACAGCCTTATTGACTCTCTCCTATGGAGTCTATGCCTCTAACAATCTTCCTATGATTGATGCACAGCGGGAGACAGCGACTGAGTGGAAGTAGAGCGGAAGTATAAGTAAGCTGTGCGGGATACAGCTAAGTACTTGAGCAGAAAGCTATCCTCTTAAATCATGCAAAGGTCTGCTACGGAACAATTGTGCAAGGGTCCCACCCGAGAGAAGTTTGATTGAGAATAGCAACAAGCTATATACATCTTGTAGAGCCAAACTGCCCTCCAAGCAAGGATCAATAATGTTTGACAATTGTAGCAGTACGGGCATTACTGCTACATCTTTCTCTGCTCTGGCATCTAGACTTGTGCAACTACCTAAGGATTATACCAAGCAGCCCGCTCCTTCCAAGTAATATATTTGGGCCTCGGCTAGTACGTCGCCTAAGTTGGCTGTTACACTAGCCTCCAACAAACTTTCTCGAAGTTGTGTGTATTTGGGGGGTGTAGTATATAAAGTGAATCACTTACATTAATACTGGTATGGTCTTATCCATTGTGACGGATAAAATACGCATACACACATAGTTATCTAAACATATTGTAGGCTAGTGCCGTGTAAGGCAAAAAGAGAGAGGAAACTTGTGGAAGCCAAACCTGTTCACCACAGTATAACAGAAAAAGAGTAGTACTGCTACCTCAAGACACGTGCTATCTGAGGCTCAACCGTCGTTTGTGTGGTTGACTATGTACCGTCATGCTTAGGGTTTTGCTTAGATGGCGCCAATCTTTCACTTTTGACTAATTGTGGCACGATCGAGATCGACTGCAGCGCTATATACGGAATTATTAGATGCCCCATCTTCCCCCCACCGGCTCGATCGAAATTACGCCACAGTCCCATCGAGATCAGTCACCCAGGATTCTTCCCCCCTTTTGGAGTCTACAACTGCCTAGTAGTTATCTGTTATACAGTGGTCTTTAATTTAGTATCCTCTTATAAAACACCGTATAATCCACATAGATATTCCATATGAAGGAATCACCAGTCAAGGCGTTTAGTAACAGTATCAGATCCACTGCCAAAACTAGATCTGGATTATTTTTTCCGCCTATCTATCCTATAGACGACTAGTAGATATATTTCCCGCAGTGGTGGTGGTGGTGGTGGTGGTGGTGGTGGTGGTGCATGACTCACGTACTTGCGCAGATCGTCCATATGGTTACGATACTGTATACTCCTACCTACCAATGTGCTTTGTGGACTAGCCAGAGGTGGGTATTATTGCGATTGTGCCCCTCGTTGCTCGGAAATTGATTTAAATTCCAAGTCCCCCCTCATTTTTCTTCGTTGGCTTTCAAAATCATCTAAACATCTTTCTCTCTCATCCTCTTTTCTTTCCCCCTTCTTCGCGTTTCAAATCTACTTCTACCAATTTCTTCAAACATTTCCTGATCAAATTCTGCCGAAATGGTTGTCTATGCTATCGAGACGTATGTTTTTCTGATTCCTTTGCATTTACCTTCCTCCCTATACTACTGTCTTTCAGGAATCAAAATATTAACTTCATTATTCTTAGGCCTGCTGAATTCACCGAGAAGGCCATCAACTCTAAGAAGCAAGTCACAGTCATGTTCTTCAGGGAACGGTCCCCTCCTTGCAAGATGATGCGCCTTGCTTTCCAGAAGCTCAGCGAGGACTACCCGTCCATCGAATTCTGCAATGTAGATGTTGACGACCTTGACCAACTCACTGCCGATTGGGGTGTTACTTCATTTCCTACTTTCCTCTTCTTCAAAGACGGTGCACAACTCAATAACTTCACTGTCTGTGGTGCCCTCACCTCGAACATTGTTAATGTTCTCGAAGACATGTCTCAAAGTGATGATGAACAGGTATAAGACTACAAATGAATACCAGCCTTAGAGAATTTTTATTCTTTTGTTTATTATTGTTTATTATGATTTCCCCCCCCAATTACTAGAGCTCCACATTCCACTGCCTCTTTTATCCCCCCTTAACGCAATGGCTATTTGGACTTTGTGCATCACTATATAGTAACTCTCTATAGCTAGGATATACAGATCTAGCCCTATCATGTAACTGACTTTTACAAAGAACATCTTATCTGAGTACCTCTCGGAGACCAGTATTTATTCTATCATTTTGAATTGCTGTAGTCCTTTACTATCTTACTTTAGGACCTCATTCTTAGTATGAGGGCCGTTAGTGCCCATGGAGCTGGCATTAGGAGGGTGTTCTGAAGGTGTCCTGAAAAGCCACCTTTAGAGTAGTCTCAAAAATAGACATGGAATATGGTCTTGGAGATATCATGAATGGAAGGCAGTATAAAGTAGATGTGAGTGCGTGGCAGTATTTCTGTAGTATTCTGCAAATCTCAAACACTATACGGGGCTGATCCTTTTTGATGAATTAAAGTCCTAAAGTCCGGCCAGGTGTAGTATCCACTTCAAGGCCACCGTTGGATAATGCATGTGTCGACAATTACTTCTCAAGAGCGTACTGTAATAAAAATTTGAAGGGCTATCATAAAAGCATAAACACGTTACATCGATAAATCCGTCATTCATTGATCAAAACCAGTCCGTGGGTTCCATGGCATGCAGCCAAAAACGCCGTCTCGGAGATATCTCAACCAGGAATAGTATGTGCCCAGCCAACAACCATACCAATATACAATAAGCAAATAATCCAGCCAATATCAAGGAAGTTGCAGAAAATCACGAAGAGGGAATCAAAAGCAAGGGAAGAAAAGAAAGAAAACATTATCGTCAAGCAGAAAGAGAGTGCACGCTTTAAGCACCACCACGGCCCATTCGTTCAATGGATCCCATGATACCACTGCGCCCGGGTGTGGGGAGGGCGATCCCGGATTTACTGCCGCTGTTGCCTCGAGCATGTCTGTTGCCCACTGCTCCGATCTTAGGGATTCTCTTTTCGCCATTACTCGAGGTGGTACTTGGAGGACGAATGCCACTTGAGGCGCTGCCACGGCTAACGCTCCTCTGGAAGCTCTCAGTGGGAGGCTCCGGGGCAGCAAACACTGGCTCTGGCGACTCAAGCTCTCTGGTGGTCAAAGGCTGGGAGGCGCTCTGTGCTGGGGGTTGATCCTGTTGGATTGCCAACCATTCATCCACAGCTGCCACCAATTCGCCTTTCTCTGCTCGCTCCTGCTTCAGCTCCGCGTGCAGGCGCTCGTTGTCTTCTTTCAGTGCCGTCATTTCCTGCTGCAATCCCTTGATCTGTGCCTCCATCACACGCTTTTCTGCTTCGTGCTCCTCCCGCTCCTGTGCGAACAGACTAGGGTCGACTCGTGGGGTCTCTGACACGGCAGCATCTCGCTCTATTCTCAGTCGCTCATTCTCTTCGTTGGCAGCCGTCAGCTTATTCTCGGCTTCACGCACGCGTTTTTCCCAGCGAGCTTCGTAACTCTTCTTCAATGCAGCGACCTTGGTTTCGTGCTTGCTCTTGTAAAGCGTATGAAGCTCACGTGCAACTTTCTCCACGGCGTCTTGTACTTCTTTGGCAGTGTCTTCGGACGTCTTGGTGCGAGACGTATTTTCAGAGGTTGCGTTCCCAGCGGAGGCAGACTGGAGAGCCGAAGCCAACTGACTCTCCAGTTCGACCACTCGGCCCTCCAACTGCTCCCTAGACTTCTCTGCCTCATCCACCTTCCTCGCCAATCGTTCTTTCTCTTGCTCACCCTCGACAATTTCTGCTCTCACTTCTCTAAGGATAGCTTCCATTTCTTGGCCCCTTCGCTGCCACTCAGCTTGCTCAAATTCCAGAGATTCCTTGCGCGCAACTTCGTTACGGACTTCTTCTAGAGCCTCCCCCACGCGGCGCTCTGCATCTGCAACTGCCTGCTTGAGACTGGCAACCTCTGCCTCCTTTCCGCTGAGAGTGGCCTTGAGGGAAGAGATCTCGGAGAGGAAGCCGGATTTCAAAGTCTCAAGCTCCCGGGGGGTGACCGTTGGAATTGATCGAGGAGTAGGCACGGAAGGGATATCAAAGTCCAGAAGGGAAGCCTTTGCAGGTGATCTTACGGAGTCTCTGGCGGTCCTCAAGGGAGATCGGCGGGAAGGAGAGTAGCGCTCATTCTGTATACTATAACGCTGACGGGGGTAAATGCTTGGCTGATCGGTCAAATCAAGCAGATTAGGCGTATCATGTATGCTTCTTGATTCTCGCTTCCGTGGTGCAGGGGATGCAAGAGGGGTTCCCATGTTGTTGAGAATGCTTCGTCGAGGCGACCTCCTTGCGGGGGAAGGACTGGCCAGTTCCGCGTCACCCAGATGAGGTCGTGATGTCTTGTAAGGCGAATCATTTCGAAGTTGTGCGAAAGTGGTCATATCTGGAATGGCGGAGAATGTGCTGAGGCGTGTCTCATCCATAGATTCGTTGGAGTCATCCGTCATAGCGTCGTCTGCTTCCTGCAAGTCAAGGTGTTCATCCATTCCTTGGGAGCTGTCCTTGTCATTCTCATGGAGGACAGTGCTCATGCCTTCGTTGTTATTTTCCTCCACCATGCTATTCACAACTTCCTGGCCAGCACCTTCCACCAGGTCGTGATCAGCAACGAATTCAACGTCCTCGTCAGCGTAAACATTGATATCTGGAGAGCCCCTCGGACCAGTACCCTTCTTGTATCTATCATTTGGGGTCTCATCACCATCCGTACCGTCAGGGACTTGCTCGTAGGAGCGCTTTCTAGGCGTCATGGAGTGGTCACCGATGCCCCCTGAAGACAAGTGCCGATTGAGGGCCCGCAGTCTCTGAAAGTCCACAGTCTCTTCTCTTGCATTAAACTGGAACGGCGAGCTAGGTGCCGGCATCACTGATTCAATATCCTCGTTATCCATTCCCTGGTCATCGTGCGACTCGTAGACATCGTGCTCAGGGATAGGATCTTCTTCTTGGAATTCTGTAGACACTTTGAAGGGGCTCGATAAGGGATCCTCAGGCGCATCCATATCGTCCTCCTCTACAGCGAAAGCAGGTTTCCCATAGCTCGGCGAGAAGGCTCGAGAGTTCTGGCGCGAGGGTGTCAAAGAGGATAACGGGGTAGACATGATGACGGTGGGTAGAGTATCTCTCTTGAGGGAGGCGAGATTGAAAATCTCGATAGTGTGGACTAGCGTCCCAGCACCAATCGATGGGAATGGGTATGGAGCAGTCCCAGAGCTCGTGTGGAGGGACAACAATGCGGAGTTTGTGATGGGGTTCGAGGCGGCGTTTATTATGATGATGATTATTTTTGGGTCGTTGCCAGGATGTCGCGGTAAACAAAACTAACCCTAATGGGGCCTAGCGTTGCGTTAGTGAGGCGGTGGTAACCGGCAAAAGCCCTGGATATCTCACCGCCCTGCGATGGGGGGCAGCCAAACTCGTCCTACCGCCTTTGTTTGCATCATCGACAGTGACTACAGGACCCCAGACGTACGCGATGTTAACGGCTGTGTAGGTTTGATCGAGTTTATATGTAGTAAATGATTTGGTATTATTCGTTCTATATACAGTGATAGACTCCGGGACACCTTTTGAGCGCTAGAATGCAGCACAGCGAATCATGAACATTTTCGATAACAACAGTACCATGGTATCATAGTATGCAAGAAAGAACGCATAGCTCTCACGCAGATAAGTCTCATGAATGAGTCCTACCGTTGCCTTCAGACAGTAGTCCTCCTATACATGGCCAGTCCCATCGCCATCAACGTCTGTCACAATGATATGGACGGTCTCATCTTTGACTGGCGTAGCATGAGACGCGTAGTGGCAATGCGCAGCTGGCTGAACCGTGATAGAGGCATGTTTCTTTTGTTCAATGAAGAAGAGCTGCACAGCGCCGATGGCTGCGACAAAAGTGCTTCCCCACCAGGCCAGGGCCGTAAAATCGATCTTGGAACCCGTACTATATAAGAAGCCTGCAATCGGTGGAGCCATCGTGCGTGAGAAGGCGCCGGCCGAGGCCGCGAGTCCATTGATCTTGCCGAGAACGGAATCGGAGGGGCTGGCCTGTTTGATGAGAATCAGAAGGACGGGGTAATCGATGATCGAGAGGATGTTGCGGACAACCAAGCAGGTGTAGATGCCGAAGATCACATGTTGGCTAGGAACGAAGATAAGGAAGGGTACGATAAAATAGGCTAGCGGATGAAGAATGGTGACGACAACAAAGAGCCTCCAGACACCCAGGCGCTGAGCCAGGAAAGGGAAGATAAGGCTCTGGATGACAAGTGCAATTATGCCATCACTTGACATGATCAATCCAACGGTTCGAGTTGAGAGGCCGACCCCACCCGGAAAACGGAAGGCCGAATTTGACGACATGGCTATGCTGCTGGCATTCTTATCTTGCAAGAAAATGGGCAACAAATGGTCATACGTCATCGAATGGTAAGTGAAGATTGCCAAGGCGATGATAAGCATGGTCACTCGCCATGTGAAGATAGTCGGCTTTTGCGGAGTGGATTCAAGCTTCGAGCCATCGGCGTACACTGTCCAATCTTCATCTTCATGGAGATGGACTTGGTTGAAAGTACCGTAGGACTCTGCACGTAAATCTGCGCCTGCGTTGGCGGTAGCCCCTGCAGTTGCAAGTAGAGGGCGCTCCACGGAAGGATAATCCAGGTCATCTGGCCGACTGCATGGTTGCATATCAGGATGCGTCTCCTCGAGTAAGATCCAGCTGGAGATGATGCTGCAGAGAAGTAATCCGGAGCAGACGATATTAGGCAGAAGGTAAGGGAATTTGCCAAATAGGCCATTCATGGAGAACAAGGAGGGGAAACCTTCAGCAGGCTTTGCCAGCAAACCTCCAATCGCTAGTGGATGAAGACATTAACACCTGTGTTCATTTGTACCTTAAGAGTTTCCATTCCAACACACGTACCTGGCCCGATAATCGTACCGATTGACCACACGAAAGGCATCACAGCGTAAGCGCGGGCTATAGGTGCGCACAGTCAGCAGCCGCTCCAACTAACAGTTACCGCCACGATTAGGGAATACGAGGATCTTCTTACGTTCATGCTCTGGATTCTTGACCAATTCACCGACCATAGTCTGGATCACACCGATGTTCCCGTTTAGAATTCCACCGAGGGCCCGTCCGAAGAGGGCCACCCAGAAATTCGAGGCGAATCCCACGATGAGGAGGGATAGCATCGTGCCAAAACAGCCGGAGATGAGAACAGGTTTGCGGCCGACACGGTCTGAAAGACCGCCCCAAAACATGCCGGTGAGGGCTTCACAGAGGGAGAATGCAGAGACGAGGATACCGGCATAGAAAGAAGCGCTGTTGGTATCAGCCACATTGAAGTCCCTGACCATTACCCATGAGTATGGAAAAATGGAAGTCAAGGCAATTGGCTCGGCGACGCGGCATATTGCTACCCAGGACCAGACGTTAGCATAGCAAAGACAGCAAAAAGACAAGGAATCTGCATACATAGAAGGAAGAGCTGAACGGTGGGAAACTTATGGTCCGAGGCGGTTGGTCTTTGCTGCAGTGTTAATACCATCTTCTGTACAAAAAACCAAGTCTCTTACGGCAAGCCCTCCGCAAAACAATAGAATCCTTGCTACCGATCCTCCTCTTGGAGTGTCCTTGTTTGCCTCTAATTTAGGAAGTGCAGATCGAAAATAATGGAAAGTGCCGAACGCAAAGAACACCACACAACTGTCGATAAACTTGTATCGAGTTCGTTCTCGTTCTGACGATACCACTGAGTGCTTTCGCTCTTTTTTTCAGGAAAGGGGAAGGTAACGCAGTAGCAGGATGAGGAGGTGTAGAGACGGGAGGATGCAAAGAGATCGGCAGCCAAATTGTCTCAGCTTGAAGAAAGAGCAGCAGATTAAAGAGCGAAAGAAAGAGCGGGAAGCTGGGAAGAAGAAAGAAAGGGAACGGCAATAAAAAGGGCGACGGTGGAGAAGTGGAGACAGTGAAAAAGCAGGTGGACTGGTTCTCGGAACCAAATGGTAGTCATGATTTTCTTGCAGAAGAGACAGAGAGGGATTTGAGTGTGTGGGTGTATGAAGTAAGGTACACAACAACGAGAGCAGCGGGTGCCACCTGACAGCACGTTCGTCCAAGTGATGCGGTTCCAGGGTCAATTCCGCGGTCGAATTGTATGGAACCCCCCTTCTTATCCGACTTTCTTGATTTGCCAACCAAACTTTCGCTCGTTGCAAAATTTTCAGCTTTCCAGTAAGCGGTGCTCTTTTCCCGCCAGGGAACATTGGCTTTTCTATAAGGGCGCATAGTACACAGAATCTGTTGTATCACCGGCACAATTTAGGTTCAGTCGAGCCCCAGGGGCCGGAACTGCAACCGGACTTTCCTTTGATGTCCACATACATGCCAGTATCCATAGACGGCTGTCATATTCTTTTTTTTTTACCAGTAATAGTATACGGGGAGGGGGGATGGATGGTGCTACATTCCTTAAGTAGGGACTGGTTTCCGGCTTCCGAGGGCATGAAAGTTTGCAGGTGGCGAGCATGCCGGTTAATCACACAGATGGTATGTTAGTGTGTGCAGCATCGAAAGCATTAAATGAATTTATAAATTAGAGTAACATTTATCCCTGCAATCCCCAGGGACATGGATATTCTTGTAGTTACTACGTCCGTAGTCTCTGATTATAGTTGTTTAGTGAGTTGTGACTAAAAAAACCACTAACTGATTGCGTATCCACTGCTGGGCCACTTCATCCCGGGGCGCCCCGCAACCCCGACAAGCAGCAAATACGTACGCCAATCACACCCCATCTTCCCCCTCGATTTCGATGAATTGATAACCTACTTTAGACACTAAGTACAGGTGCCAAATACAGCTAGGTTAACCATCTGGCTTCTGTCAGACTTGAAGATCGCCTTCCGCTATCCGGAAGTTGCTACTCACTCATCGTTATTTGACTGAATCCGGTTATGTTGCCTGGAACAAGACAGAACTTCATTTGAAGACCTCGGACAGGCCAGCCACAGTGCATGGACTTGGGTGGAGTACTAGATCGGCATAATGCTACTTATGCAATTGTGTCGTCGGTTGCACGGTCTAGACCGTGGTTCTTATCACTTTGTCTGGATCTCATGCCAGATGTTGTCATCCAAGGTTGACTACTCAAAGCCAACTGGTCTCTTACCTCCGCAACATATTCTAGCCATAAAGTGTTTCGAATCCTTAGGAATAATGGATACTATGATGATAAAAGACATAGATTGATCTCGGACATCAGACTGATCTTTGCACATATGTCGACGGGTGTAGCTCTTGTTCGTTGATGAAAGTAACACTGAATTTGCCATGAATTTACAAGAAGTTTGTATTTACAATCAGACAACTAGGCATCAACTCTTCGGATAAAGGGTTGCGAAATAATGCTTGGAACTGGGAGGGTACCGGCCGATCTGTACAAATTGCCATAGTAGGCCCACCACAAAAGGGAAAGATGGTCTTTCGGAGACGACAGGTTTGAGCTGTTATGCTCATATGCTGTATGTCAAAGCCTGCATTCGGTAGCACGTGTTAAACCCACATGTCGAACGTGAGTCGTGCTCCGACCCTGACGATCATTCGAGACGTCGATTCATTTTACCCCTGGTGCCGCAGATGGCCGGCTTCGATGGCCTCGAGCGACTGGACTGGGTCTCCGGGTAAAAAGGTACCGGACTATGATAGTGTATAATCTGGATATGACATGTGTCCCTAACGACCAGCATTTTCGGACACTGGGATATATAACCGCCGCTCTCTCGCAGCCTTTAGAACGAGTCAGCGCTTCCGTAAAAGAAAGCCGTGGACCTGATGAATAAGATACCTCGAGCCACTTCTCTACCCAAGGCTTAAAGATCGCCCAGGCAAGCAGACTGCCAGTAGCAATGATAAACATGAATACAATGGCTTGGTCTTTCCGGGAGTCTCTCTCTGAAGTACAGGACATGTTAGCAGAGCACAAACAATGGTGAGTGATTCGGGGCGGGGGAAAGATCATACGGAAACAGGTGGTAAAGACATCATCTTCCTTAGCACCATGGCAGGTGGGCAAGTCATAGTCCAAGCAGAACTTCCGGTTACAATCGTTGCAGTTCAAAGAGCGATAATTCTTCGCTCTTGTATCCAAAATAGCGGTATCATCGCTGCGACGAAGGAAATGGGAGACACCGTTCAAGGCCGATGTCGATTCGGAAGAGTCGGGATCGAGAGGGATGATCGTACTATTGGAGAAGCAGGTGCACTTGCAGAATGACGCGGGGGCTGCTTTGACTATTAGCCTCTCTCTATTTTTGACAGTAAAAGCGGAGCCAGCATCGAACACCAGACGATCGGGGGGGCAGGTGACTTACAGGAAGCCACCGCAAAAGAAGTCCAGAGTAAAAAAGCAGTAAAAAGAAACAGCACCCTAGAGGCGCTATGCCGTAGTAGCATGGCTGGCGAATTCGCTGTGAGAGGGGTGGTTACCTTATCCCCTGGGATCAAGAGTTGACGTGTCGGTCTTCATTGCTGCCGCGGAGATGATGGTTTATTGGCGCCTGAAGGCGGAAAGGCCAGACCTCCGATCCATCCCCGGATTCTTGGTACCACGTGATCTACAAGTCATCTATTGAAGACACCAAAGTATCAAAAGCTAACAATAAACCATACCATCAATTGTACGGATAGTCTACTACCATTCCTGTAACTTGCTCTCCTGGTGTGCAGCCTACGCTCGAATTCAAAATTACAGCTAGTGAGACGAATTTAAACATGACGCTTGCTTGAGCAAGCATGCCAATTATGCAATATCTAATGTCAAAGCTATTTGCAAGAATCATGCAGTAAGCATCGTCTTCTAAGATTTTCCCTTCATCCCCTTGCTGCGATTCTCCCTCTGCCTTTGCTCCTTAGCAGCCTCACGTCGTCTCCTCTTCCAAGCGCGATTGTTATCTCCCCGATTTTCCCAGAACCATTTGGTAAAATCCGAGTCTTCTTTCGGCCCAGGCGCGGGTTTGGGTACTGGAGTATTCAGGTGCGTCTCATCATCTATATCCATAGGATCAGGCCGTCCCGCAGTTTTCCAGTTAATTCCCCGACCCATCAAAGCCGTGTCGGGGGTCGGGGCAGCGCTTCTTAATCCTCGGTCTTGCAGATCTCTCTTGGTGAAAGGCGTCTGCGGTTCGGTCGGCTTGATTTCCACTTCATCTTCCGATTCTAAATCGTCTTGCGCAAAGAAACTGAACGGCGCATCCCCCTCTGTTTCAGGCTTCGCTTCAGGAGCACCCGGCGGGGGTCTCTTAAAAAGTGCCTCCAGTGGGTGGACAGTTTGAGAGGGGGGTGGGTTATCATTCACATTTGATGACGCACTTTGATCCACGGCGGGCTTCGATTCGGAAGCCACTTTCTCTTGCTCGCGCTTATTTGACGGAACTGATGTATCATCATCGCTGCTGGATGAATCAATCGACTCATCCGATGAACCAGTCGAATCCTGATCGCTTTCGGAGTCTGTAGAATCTTCCTCGGAAGAACTCTCCCCACTAGACGAGGTCCAGTCTTCTGATTCCTCATCAGACTTTACTTCCTCGACGGCCTTTTTCTTTTGACCTGTGGCCTTCTTGGGAGAGAAAGACTCATCCTTCACAACCTTTGTGGCCTTTCGCTTCTCCTTGGCTCCGGCTACCTGTCCTGGTCTATACTTATCGCTTCTTATCCGATCGCTGGCCGTCTCTTTCACATTCCCTGCCTCATCTACCCAGCCCTTACCCTCCTCAAATCCAACTGTGGGGGCTGATTGCTCATCCCCAGAACGTAGGAAACTCGGATGTGTAACGGTTTTGGAGAACTCATGAACCACCGTTTCCTGCGCAGATTTCTTGCTCTTCTTTTTGGACTTGGTCTCTGTAGCCTCGTCGGCGGAGGCTTTGTTGGGTGGTAGCTTCGTTCGGAACAGACATTCGGCCTTTTCGGTGTACTTGGACTTGGCCTGCGACTTCGCGGACTTTTCGTCCTTACTTTTCTTCTTCTTCTTCTCTTCCTTGCGCCTTTCCTGCTTCGAATCTGCCGACTCGGTCCAGCCCCTCTTTACTTGGCGATCCTTCGGGAGCTCATAGCCATCGAGAATTTCCTCGCCCGCTTTCAGCTTCTTGGATTTCTTCGAAGACTTTTTATCGGATGATGACTTCTGGGGAGCAGTGTCGACTTCCTCTTCTTCATCCCTTGACCTTTTCTTCGGGCGAGCGGTATCGACCTTGAACTTCTTGCCCTTAAGAATGGAACCGTTCAGCTTCTTTTTTATCTTGTCGGCTTCCATGGTGGGCAGGGTCACGTAGCCGTAGTTGTTTTCGGGGAAGGTTGGGATGCAATGGAAGGAAATTTCCGTAGCTAGGGCTTTGATCGATGCAGGGAGCACGGCCGGTAGGAGATCGGGGGTGAATGGAGTGATATGCAGGCGCTTCGTATCGGACGGTGTGGTCGTCATTTGCCTAATAGATAGATAGATAGATAGATACCTGAGTACGGTAGCAGTGCAGGTGACGGCTAAGAGATCGGAAGAAAAAAAAAGTGCGCGTAGGTCAGTCACAAGCGCATTCAGCCTAACAACTGTCTTTGACACTCGGTGAGGATTCGAATCCAAGTAGAACAAGAAAAACAATTCTTCTTGAAATTGGTCAGAAGGGCTTCCAACGAAGCATCAAGCAGACCCGATTGGAGTAGATATTCGAGACCGAAAAATTAACGATAGGATCAGTTATTGGCCGAGGGATTTTCCGGGCCGCCAAGACCGGGTATGGAGATGTGGCGCAGGCCTGCCATTCTCAGCCACAGGTTTCTTGTGTCGTCCTCCACGTATTGATTTAAGTTGGCATGGCATGGCATGACTCTACCATGATGACAAGAAAGTACGGTGTGTGTGGAAAAAGGAAGGCTCAGCAATAAATGGGAAAAAATGATTGATGTAAGACTCGATGTATCCAGTGGAACGAGATGCAAGTTGCAACAGCAATAAATGGGTTTCAGCCTCCATTACAATGTAACAGTCGGGCCGATACTCAGCCGGGACATGATTTGGCGGGTGAAAAGTGGATCCGGAGAGGATGATCAGGTAATCTTTCGTACGGCACCAGACCCGACCCGGCCTGCTTTTTACCAGCTGGTAACTGTTGTAATCCCCGTAAAACTGACTGGAACTGAACAGTAAACTGCCATTGATCTTCTGCCCTTTTCCCTTTTCTCTTTTCCCCCTTTGAAACTTACTTTCTTCTTCCTCTTCATCGCTTAACTACTTAAGTAGGCTTGTCAATCGCCACTATTCCCCAGTATCTAAAAGTAGTCTTTGCTACGAAGATCCCTTCCCCCTACATTACTCCTCCTCCTTCAACACACCCACACCCACATCTTTCCCCCCCCCTGATCCGGCCCCATACCAAGTCTTCCCGCGGCTAACTAAAGCCCGCACGTCTGATCTCATCGCCGCTTCCAGCTTCGACCTCAGTCGCTCACATGGCCACTCGGATTCCTTAGCATCATCTCTTTTCCATCCCCCTCCCCGCCCTACCAACTGAGGGTCCTCTAAAGTGTGCTCCACCTTTCCCTTCCCTTCCCTTATTATTTTTTGGATCCTCATTTTCTTTCTTCCTGTGTTTCGGGGCGTTCGTTCTTCAAACCATCGCTAGTCACTTCCCTCCTCTCATTACCGGACGGGAACCTCACTCGCTCCCTTCTCCGCTTTCTTATCCGGACCGCCTCTTGCCAATCTCACCGTCGATTCTAACCCCGTCCTTATCCAGTCGTCCAACCCTACTATTGTTGACTCTCACGTCGGTCCCCATTCTCGTTCGAGATGGGCAATTCTCAGGCAAAAGAGAGCCGGCCGCTTGCTTCGTCCAGTCGCCGCAGTCATCACCATGGCCCATACGGTGACCGCCACCATGGTGATGGTTCCAGGTCGAATCGGGGTAGCCGGCCCGATCTGTCCCTGCTCGGAATAGGCGGAAGTTCAGAGCGAGATTTGGCCACGCTCGAACATCGACGAGAAACAAGGCAGGAACGAGAGGCTCGCCGGCTAGAGAAAGAGCGGGTAGCTCGGCTCAAGGAGCGGGAGCGTAGTATGAGAGAAGAACATGTGGACGGTGGTTATCTGGTGACCCAGGGTGTCTATACGGGCCCAGAGGATTTCAACAAGGCTGTGGTGCGACAGCTAATGGTGAGCTTGCCGCGCTACCAAATCTGGCCTTGGAGAGCCCAGAGCCGATGCTGACTGTTCCTCTATAGATCGAACGACGACTTGCGCCGTTTTGGAGAGGACTAAATGACTTCTCGGACTCGTGGACAGAGCACCAGCTTATGGCTGCGGCGCGTGGTCTTCCCATTCCCCCTCCCGACGAGATCCCCCCTGAGCTGGAATATAAGAACCCACCCAAGGCCGCGGAAGACACAAAGGAGGCTTCGGATTCAGCCGCCGTGCAATATTTGATGGTCCCCATAACGTCAAGATCGCAATCATACGGATCCGATGCGTCCCAGTCTTCCACGCCCGCACATTCCCTCCCCTCCCCAACATCTCCTATCGCGTCCGGCACATCGAGCTCACCACTGTTTAGAGCGCGAGCCAAGACTCTTGCGTCGCTAACCACGCCGAAGCATGGAATTCAGTCTGATGCGGCTTCACGTGAAATGCAGTTGCCTCGTGACCCTTTTGTGAACGGACAACCCATTGAAGCATACCTATATAAGGACGCGGCGGAATGTCCTATCTGTTTCCTGTACTATCCTCCGTATCTCAATCGGACGAGATGTTGCGACCAGCCAATATGTTCCGAATGTTTTGTTCAAATCAAACGCCCCGACCCTCATCCGCCGGAGCATGGGGACTCTAACCCGGATTCTGCTCCAGCTGAGGGTGGTGAACAGGCCGAAAGCCAAGACTGCCAGCTAGTGTCGGAACCATCGGCGTGTCCATTCTGTGTCCAGCCGGAGTTTGGGGTGACATATGCGCCCCCGCCGTTCCGGAGAGGGCTAGCGTACGCTTCTGATCCGAGCTCGCGCCCCAATGTGGCCTCTCCACTGTCTTCCACATCCTCCCTATCCTCCGGGAACACCCCCACCACCGGTCGTCGACGCGCGACCTCGTTATCTGCAAATGATCCAACTGTGATCACTACCGATAGGATTCGTCCCGACTGGGCTCAAAAGCTTGCCAATGCTCGAGCTCATGCGGCGCGGCGGTCGGCAGCAGCAACTGCCCTTCATACTGCGGCTTACTTGATGCACTCTAACGGTGCCGGAAATGAGTCCCGAATCGGTCTGGGAAGAAGAAGTGTCATGCGGAGAAACGGCGCGCCCGAAGCCCAGAATTCCAACGCGCGCACCGGATCCCCGGCGCTGCAGGCGCTGGCTTTCCTCACGGATAGGCGTGGAGCTGGCCACGAAGCCGACTCGGCGGAAGAAGGGACCGGTAACATCGCGCCACCTCGCCAGAGCTCGAGGCGGAATCGCATAGATGATCTGGAAGAGATGATGATGATGGAGGCGATCCGACTAAGTCTAGCAAGCGAGGAAGAGCGACGCAAGAGGGAGGAGAAAGAGGCCAAGAAAGAGGCCAAAAGAAAGGAGAAGGAAGCCAAGAAGGCAGAAAAGGTTGCGCGCAAAACCGGGCTCACCAGTAACAATGCGAGCAGCTCCGCCTTGGATGTGCCTCCGGATGCGCGGCTTGGTAGGGTTACCAGCAGTTCCTCTTCCATTGCGGCTGAGGAGCTTGTATCGGCCGGCAAGGGTAAGGAGGTAGACCGCTCTGAACCAGCTGGTGGCTCTGCCGCTGAAGCCAGTGCTGCGGCCGAGGAAGCGCAGCCCGCGGCAGCATCGGCAAGCGCGGTCGACCAAGCGCCGAGTATGTCACCTCCATCAGTGGTCCAGTCGTCATCTAAGGATGTCACGAGGCCTTCGCATCTTCGGCATGTTTCCAGCGCATCGTCATCGTTCTCCTCGCTGGTCGAATCGATGTCGGAAGATCATGCGGGCTCGGCTGAGGGAGCAGGCTCCTTTGCAGAGCCCCTTTACAATTTTCGCAGCTTGGCAGCCGTGATTGGGGATGAAGAGAAGGGCGATGAGGCACCCGAGCATGTTGAAGAGACCCCGTCCCAGCCGAATGTGGAGGGATCAGCCTCGCAGCCGGTGGCAGAGGCATCCGTTGCTGAGCCCGCAACCACCACCGAGGCTAAGGTACCCATGGAGGAGCAGCGCGACAGGCTGATGCCGAAAGAGCTGGAGACCCAATCCGTCGAAATTACGAGTACTACACATGATACGGAGGCTACGTCGTGAAGCTGCCAGCGCTACGTATTTGAAACCAAGGCGAGTTGGAAGGCCTGATGATGATACGCTCCCTTAACCCTTTGTGTTCCTTCTTCTTTTCTTCCCTTTTCTTCTTCTCCTTGATTTATGATGACACTGGGACGCATATGGTATCTTTCCTTATATACATACAGTTGCATAGATTTCGTCTGAGCCACCATTCTCTAGGTTTTCATTTTCTTTATATTGAGGGTTCATGCGCGTGAGTAAGTGAGATGATGCGCCTTTTTCTTTCCTATGTATGCGAGCGTGCGGGAGTTGAACTGGCGGATGTGGATGTCATTCAATCTATCAATCAATCGCTGCTTGAGCATGTTGTTTTTCGGGGCACCAGATTGCGATGGTGATTGGTAGCTGGAATGGGATAGATCGATTTAACTCACTGTTGGAAATACTGCGGAGATGATTTGACCGAATCTGTCCCTCTTTTGGTTGGCTGTCCTATACTTCTTGATCCCTTTTTATTCTTCTGTAGGCGATAGATGTCTATTCATCTATCTACTCATGGCCAGTGATACCTGACCGAGGGGATCATCGGCGGGATCGGAAGTGCGATCTCGTTTCAGCCACGCGACGGGCTCCACTGACCCTGGCAGGAAATGAGCCGACCAGCATCCTTTCATCTATTGACCTTCCATTCCAATCTATTCAATCATTCTGTTGTTATCACAGCAAAATGAGGAACATACCAAGCATGGTCAACATGGCAGTACACGAACATTTCCCATAATCACGACCACTACTGCTGGTGCTGCTGCTGCTGCTGCTGCTGGGCAAAGGACGACATGTTTCTTAAAATCCTGGCCTGTCGAATGGATTAGCGCCTCAACAGGGTCCAGTTATATCCATCGGCCCTCCAGCGCATCCTCCACTTCTCTCGTCATCGCCGATCTTCCCTCGCGGCTTTGCCGGCTGCCTTTTCAGTCCCAGTCATCGGCTTCTCTTGAGTCTGCTGCTGCAAAGTCGCCTTGCACAGCCTATCCCCGGCATGACAGCAGGCCAACGTCACTCCGAGATGCATATTTGCATCTTTCACGGGGCTAAAACAAGACAGAATGTTCGGAGGTTCACGAAAAAGGCAACAGCAGGATGCCGAACGGACGCTATCGACCACTAGTATTCATCCCGAATCATGCTCAACCTTCAGTAGTTCAGCTCGCTTGGTGATTGACCTTTCATTTCACAAGGGCCCTATTAAAGTTTTGAAGTCGATCAGAAGGCACCCACCTAGGTGCGATCTATCTATCCATCTCTCCTGTCTCTCTCTTTCTTTCTTTCTTTCTTTCCTTTTTTTTTTTTTTTTTTTT